AGCATGGGCGTTCCTCAAGATTCTCAATTGAATGTGCAGGAGGTCAAGAGAAGAAGGAAACTTTGCTTGGAAAAACGAGTAAAATAAAGAAGTTTTTACACCTGAATGGCAATGTAGATGCCATAGAAATAGCATTAGACTATTGGCTAACACACAATATGCCATCTGCAAGTAGCAACACACATACTTCAGCATCATCTGAAGGCAATCTTGAGCCAGAGTCTTGGTACACACCACTAGAGAGACATGAAACTGAGCAACCAATATTTTTTACAACTGAAAAAACTGTCAAAAAACTTGTAAGTTTAGTTGAACATCATAGCAGAATATGTCAAGCGGAACTTCAGTTGCAAGAAGTAGTATTACATGGACATGCAGCAACAATTGCCTTTAAATGCCAGGTCAGCGAACATTATGTAAGATGGCCTTCCTCACCCCACTTACCAAATAGCGAGGCTTACGTCAATCTTCGTTTTTTCTTTGGACAGTTGACAAGTGGGCTACTGCCTTCACAATATGAGAATGTTGTTAAAGCAGTCGGTATGGGCCATCTAGGTTGGAGAAAAGAGAAGACTTATACAAATGAATTATCTTCTCATATCAGTGAAGCGATGAAAGAATCTTGCAAAGCTGCCTTAGATGAAGAAAAGGGGACGTATCCTGATGTCGAGGCAAATGGTATCAATATCATGACGGATGCTCGACATGGTGGTAGAAGAAATGCGTTTGATTGTGATGTGATATGTTTGGGCCACAACAAACACAGAGTTATACGTTCTGAACATGTTTCAAAGGAAGATGAAATGTCATCTCAAAAGCATGAGGCATTGGGTACTAAACGGATGTATGAATTTTTTGATGCTGAACAAGTTAAAATAAATATTCATGCCCATGACAACAACGGTACAATCAATAAAATAATCCGTGAGCACAGAGGACCTGGTGGCAAGGAAACTTTAAACCAGAATGACACATGGCATGCGGCAAAGTCATTCAGTCGTGAAATAAACAAAGTTTGTAAGGGGCCCAAATATAAAGATGGCGAGACGTGGCACTCGGAACTCATAGACAAACCCGATGGGGCACGAAAAAGAGCACAGCAAGTTATTCGAAACTGTGATAAGAATCCGAATACAATCAGGATGAAACTAGAGCAAATTCCAAACCATTATAAGGACAACCATTTAAATTGCGATGCCATATCAAGCTGTAAAACAAATATCAACTACAGATTAGAGAAAATTAGAATCACCTCACCCATTGCAGAACAATTATTATTATCATCAATTAAAAAAACAGAAATTTATAGACACGCTGAACATTATACAGAAGCTATGGACACATTTTATGTTGAGAGCTTCAACAATACGTTGAATATTTTCCATGATAAGCGTGTTGTCTTTAAAAAGCAACAATTCGAAATAAGAACTAATCTAGCTGTCGTCCACTGGAATGAAAATGTAGACCGTGATTATTCCAGCATTACTGAAATTGATGATCCACTGAATCCCTTCAAACAAAGAAAAGTTTTGAAGGACTACACAACTAATTACAAAAACAATATTTGGAACAAATGGATGGATTCTATATTTTAATTATACAATATACTTATACTTTACCACATTCCATAGATTATTTACAAGATTAATAACATATAAATACAACATGACTATGTGCATGTAATTGGATTAACTATCACTGTTGGATATATAAAGATCACATCACTTGAAATGCCTCAGCCAGGATCAGGGTAAGTTAATATCAATAATACTTCATTTACTGCAGATATTTTAGGCCATGTGCTTTTGTTGACCTCTAAATATGCACGGATCGCCTGTTGTGATTGGCTCATTTCAAAATAGGCTCCTCCTTCTCAGTTGTTCCAATATCAGAAATTAAACAGTAATAATTACAAAAGTAAATAATATCTTGGACTGGATTTAACATGTTTCAATGCCTCCTATATTCATAGATAACTGTGACAATTTATAGAGTGATAGGGTTTCTATAACTAGAGAAAATGAGGAAAATGTCAGTGAGCTCAGATTTTGTCTAAATTTTGAATTCAGCCATGTTTTTTCAACTGATTCAGGCCTTTTATAGCGGGGGTGAGTCTTTAACATGTATGTGAGATTTCTACATTCAGTCTGTAGCAGGATACTTTGTAAGGTTGGAGAACTTGATGTTATTGTAAAGTTACCCCTTTCGGGGTTAGAAAAATAAGTCTATAGACTCATTATAATGTTCCTCTCCACGGAAATCTTTAGTAAAAGGCGAAAGATTTATGCGTGGATGAAGAGAAACCAGAGTAATTAGAAAAGGTTCCAAATGATATAAGTAGTTGGAATTAAAAGTATTAAATATGGGCTGAGGTATTTGCATGTAAAAAGTAATTTCTCGCTTTAATTCCAACAGTTTTGGATTTTAACATTCAAAACTTTCTCAGCTTATTTGTGCAAGTTATACTTCCATTTTGCTTAAAAACATAAAAATTATAACTTAAAAGATTATTTACTATTAAAGATTTATTGGTTTTTCACATTGTATTTAATAAACTACATATAATAGTGCACTGATACCCATGCTGCCATCTTTATGTGAACGACAACACTTAAATCAATAATTTTATCGCTACAATGACTTAGCATATTAAATAAACCCTTACAAAATTTTTGATCATAAACAAAACAATAAAAACCCTTATAATAAGAATCAGAAATCCCTGATTTTCTTGAAATATCTTCTTGTACAATAGTTTGAGAGAAATCCTTTGAGAGTGGTTTTTCTTGACTTGATTCATAACGGTATTTTACTTGATATTTGATTAAGTGGCAATGACATTTGGATTGTCTACATGTGAGATCACACGTAGCTTGAACGCTGCAGGTGTTTTAAATGAACCGGTGACCATAACTTTGAAATGCTTTTTACTTCTACTAGAAATAAAATTTCATGGTTGTCATGTTTTAAAATACAAAATAGAGAAAAAGAGTGAAATCAGCAAGGAATAAAATAAACAGGCATGTAGACAACATTCTAAATTGTATAAGATTGCAAGAAATTGGTGCAGTTTATTCAAATTTTAGAGAGGAAACCCCAAAAATAGTTGAGACTTAAATACGATTTTATGTACTGGTACTTTGAATTGGGTTTTAGTACTTTAGAGCACTGTAACAGACATGAGCTTGTAAATCTTAAATTTTGAGGCAAAAACGTCATTTGAATTGAAAACAAAGTTGTTTGCATTATTTAATCTAGCTATTTTTGAATGCAGCCCATGTCTTTCAATTAGTATGATCAGAAGGTCAAACTGATCAAAATGTATCATTTTCAACCCTGGAAGTTTTTATCACTTGTTTTGTTATGATTCACATGAATGATGATTAAATTGAACTACATAATATGCAAATGCACTCTAGCATACGCATTAACCTGTTATTTTTATATTGTCATGATGTTTTTGTTGTCTTGTAATTAATGTTATTTTGACAATTAAGAGTACACATGATTCAAGCAGACATTTTAATTCAAAAATTGACTAATTCATTAATTGATTTATATTCCATAATGATAGAACACACTTGGATGGTATCTCACAAGACATTGTTTTCCCCCAGAAAAAAAATTAAAAATTCAGTTTTGACAAAATGTACCAATTTTTCATAATATTCCTCATTTTTTACTGAATGCAAAACTATTTTCAAACCTTGAGAAGGTGGTGCATCCCTACCTACTTCATTACTGCAGGGCGTTTGGTGTAACCACTTTTATGTTTGACAATGACCAGCAAAATTTATAGCAACTTTTATGACAAACTATCTGATAGTCAACATGTATGCCATTTTATGGGAAAATTAAAACTAACTTCATGACAATTTGTCCGTAATTCATTCCGCCATTTAGATTTGAATTATGTGGAATCCTGAATACCTGGATAATAACCTTAACATGACTCCGTAAACATCACGTAAGCATGCAATTTCAATATATTCAATGAAATATGCAGGGCAGTATAAGTCACCAATAGGTGGCGTGTATGCATGAAATCATGACTGAGTGTAATCTCGATAATATCTGCAGATAAAAATGCAAACAACATGTATGTTAATCAGTAAGTATACTTTGATTATTAAAAAAAATGTTTCACGTTTTTAGTTAATTACATAACATCACGTTTGTAAACAGCACTGCAGATATCAGCAATGAGTAAAAAACCATGAGATCATGTTTTAAAATGCAAAATAGAGTGGAAAAGAGTGGAATCCGTAAGAAAATGGGTAAACAAGCATGTAGCCAAGACTCAAAATTGTATAGACACAGCAGAAAATGATGAATTTCGTTCAAATTTTACAGAGAAAAAGAGTGAAATAGAGCAAGAGCAGAGAAATAATTTAGATTTGCTTTGATAGCAGACTTCTGTGCAGTGCTAACTATGTGTGACCGAAGCTATGAAAGTTCACAGAAAGCGCTTTGTTTTTGTTATCATTAAGCAAACAATTTAGCTCTCTCAAACTTGATTTTTCCAAGGTATGAAATTCAAAATCAAACTGTTAAATTATGTATCAGGGAGATATCATACATATTGAATCCCCTAAGGTGGTCCAAGAGGCCTAATATTTAGACATCAGTATGCATGCCGAACTAACCATGATTATTTGTTCTAGGCCTCCCTAAATAAGCCAGATTACATACTCTACCAGGCCCCCCTTACACTATCCCTTACAGATCACACTATATCCCAGGAAATATCCGTCCCTCATATCCAGAAGTTGATCTAAGGTTCTGAGAGCAGCTGGTCAAAATGGAAAAAACACATCAAAAATAGCCAGCTTAAAATAGACTGACCCAACAAGCCCAATAACTAAAGCAACAGTTCTAGATTGTCAAACCAAGAAACATCCCCGAAAATTCAAATCAATCAAATCAAATTAAATCAATTCATCGACCAGTTTGTCTGGAAATGCACAGGCAAGAAAAATGAGGTTTGGTAAATGACTTACTGAAATACTGCAGAGTTGCATCAATCTGATCATGTGTCAGGTCTAAATCAATGTCTTGCTGCAGAACGGGTGTTTGAATCCAATCTTCGTTGTTATAGCCCCCAAATTCTGTGAGGGTGTCAGCTCGTAGTTTGTATTTTGGAATCTGTTCTTCTACGAGGGATACAATCTCGACTTCTGGTAAATCTCCACTATTACACACGTCTGAAAACAAAAAAGTATGATTGAAATATTTTGAACTTTCACGTATTTTCTGATGCTATCCATAATAAGTTTAGTTAAGTTGATTGTTCTTCCAATAATTTCAAACAAGCAAACTATTACTGTATCGATATGTCATAAAACAAATATAGTGGTGAATACAACATCAAACAACAATATTTGTAAATGCTAAAGTCTAATTTGTTCTATTCACTAAAACTTCTACAGTGTTCTTTGAATCACAGAGCCTAGAGTTGTAGAACTATGTGATTGATCACTGCGCAACTTAGGGGCTTGATTAATATAAGTCTAATAGGATTAATCTATGTGATTTTGGCATTTAATATCACATTATTACACAATAATGGCTTTAATCGCAAAATAATATCAAGGATGAGCACTGAAATGCTTTAATGATCATTAATCTTCTATTGTTTTGGAATGACTCGTAATAATCCCTGATTTTACTTTTGCTGTAATATTTATTGTTACTATGGCAACCGTATCTCTTGAGAAATTTCAGTTTGTAAAGAAAAGTGATTTGCAGCAAGTAAAACATATTCATATAGTAACACATGAAATGCCCTATTAGGTAGAAGTCTTGTATCAAGTCCTGGTCAATACAGGGGCTTGATGCAATGCTAATTATGAAGCTTTGGTAAGCATACGTTTCTCAAAGTAAACACCTCTTACTATTGAAATCTGAATTCTTTAGATTCTTACATAAAATCCTGAATCTAAAAGAACCTACAGTATAGGTTCTTCTGAAAATAGAATTTGTAATGTTTTTTTTTTTAAATATTTAAAATCAGATCATAATCAAATATTAAGTGTTTGTAAACCAACATTGCTCGAACTGACTAAAGGTGTTCGTACATATGACAGGTGTTTGTTCATATGACAGTATGACAGGTGTTCACATTCATTGATTTTACTTTTTCATACATTTCTCAATTTTAGATTTTGCCTTAAGCTGTGAATTGTGATACAGCATCTCTGTCGTGCAAAAATGCAACTACAAAGGAACTTATATATGAGGCTGTGATGTTTCACATGTAAGTTGTGATACTTTTTATTTGGTCACCTAGTACACCCATTTATTCAAAACCATAACAACTATGTGGTTTTCCTCAGGGAAGGGTGTATGATTCAGATGATTATATTCTATATTAATGAAGATCTGCTTCAATGAATTATTTCTATGAGAAAACAAATATTTCCTGGGCCTAGATCTTAACTTTGGTCATGTCGAATCTATGCATATTTTCCTTGCTGATTTCACTCTTTTCCACTCTAATTTGCATTTCAAGCAATGGAAATTGTGAGGTTTTCTCATTGGTTGCAAAAAGCAATAACAGGATTCCGAAAAACTATTAATTAATGCCATTAATCTATCTCTTTTTTTCCCTTTGGCACAAGTGCTTATAATACACATGATGTCCATGATAAAATACAGATAAAACTAAATTGTATAATCTTTAAAATCAAAAAAATTTTCCTTTCGTCTGAAGAAAAATATATGAAGATACTATAAAGGTTTTAAGATTATTAGAAAACACAGGAACCTTTGTGTTTCTAAATCCCTCTAATTACACAGATCTGCAAATAATGCTTTATATTTAACATGTGTTTACATCAAAGCTATTGAGAAGTAGTTCACAGCATTATGGTGTTTATGACTGCCATTGATTCTATGTCTTATTATAGTGTCATTGTAAAAATCATTAGGATAAATAAAGGATATTGCGCATCAAATAGGTGTGAATGTCATAACTAATCATGTTTTATGAATAAAATGTCAGATTAACCATATATATAATTGATAATGTTTGACACATGTGAACAGAGACATAAAACAATTAATTATATGTGAATGATTTTTTTTATGATTGTGCCCATTTCACACATTTTTCCCCTAAATGTGAAGGAGCTGTTTGATTTTTATGCTTGTTTACTTTATACCTTGCTCATTTCACACTCTTCATATCACTTTGCTTTTCAAAAAATAACTGTCAAAAAGTGCTTAGATTGAATATTAAGTAACCAATACAGTTGCATTTTATTATGTCACAATATTCCAAACTCTCGTATGACCCTCTAGAGATCAATGTTGAATGTCTTAAAACATGAGGCCATTAGTATGCAGTCTACTATGGAAAAGTATTACACTTCCTTTTGTGATACCAAAAGTAGAATTATGAACCAGAGTATTTCAGGTCTGTCCCCAAAGAGATGCATCAATCAGAAATGAAAAAGTAAAGCTTCATTGGATAACATTCCATTTTAATTAACATTACATCTACTAACATTCCATTGACAATTAGACCATCAATCTGATTCAGAGTCGATTGATCAACTTTCAATTGATTAAACATTCCAACTATTCAGGTTATTTTTTCATTTGTTGAGGTCTTGGAGGGATATATTTTCAATGTATACATGATGGTCTATTGGTCTACCTTATAGTTGAAGAAAAGATTACAGTAAAACCTGTCTAATCTGAACGTCACTGGAGCCAATCCAGTGTTTGGGTTAGCAGGTCTTCACATTTTAAGGTTCTCTTGATATGTAAGTCTGTAATGTGAGATAACAAAATTGGGACCAAGAAAATTGTTCAGCTTGAGAGGTGTTCAGTTTAGTGAGGTGTTCAGATATACAGTATACAATTGTAGACCTCTCTTGAGGTCAACTGGCAAAATTTTATACCGATACTGTAAACCTTGAAAGTACTGTTGACCAAGACCGGAGTAGCAGTCAACAGTACATATTGTTGACCGGTTATCAACCAGTCGGAATTGAGTATTTCAATTGAGGTACTAACAAATTTCACTGTACACTGCTAACTTATGCATCTGGATTGATGTAAGAAGTGTCCACATGTGCATCAATTGATTTGATTAGATGTTTAATTAGTTGTATCTGTACACATTTAATAGATCTCAAAAATCAATATTATTGTGATATATGCTATAATTGCAATTCTACTGCCCTCCAAGCTAAAATAAATATGCTTTTAGTACCACATCCGATATTCAGTTATTCAATGTATAATGCATACTATATAACCCCTACATAAATATAAATCTGATCTTGCTTTTTTTTTAATTTGAATAAGTAAACCATTTTTCAGTCAGTTCTATATTGATAGAGTCAACTACACACTTGTTGGGTTTATTATTTGCTGATTTCACTCTTTCCAAAGATATTTTAAAATACAAAATATGAATTCAGTTACACTTCTTGAATAGGTATATTTGATTGATAAAAATATACTGGTATGTATTACCATAGATTCTGAATCTGATACTCATCACATTTTTCTGTTTTATGAGCTAAGAACAAATGAGATACCATGGATTTTCATATATAACATAGATACTTTGTTCCTTTCCCTTACCATACAAGTATACCTACCGTACATATATTTCTAACGCATGTGGTAATTCCGGATAGCTGTTTAACGTGGTATTTCCATATATAACTGAAGTCCAGGTTAAAATGAACTTAGAAAGCGGATATTTCGTCTTTATAATCCTCTTATACATAATGAATGTTAACAATTTGATTAATTTCCAATTATGATCTTATCTCAGGATTTATATGAATTATTCCATGTATCCAGCTGCATTTTTTACAGGTACACATCACAATTTTTATTTTTAATCCTCTCTGTTATAGAAACATTATACATGATCTTAATGATCATCCATGAATCCCAAATATGAGTGACTCGAAAAAATGTAGCTTACTGTTTTAGGCTATATGTACAGTTATGCCACAAGTCTATATATATTTTCTACCTCTCTTTAGCTAACAGATAAAGCAAAGTATAAGCATCGAGCTTATTTCTGATAATACTGCTTTTAATAGAACCCTCTAGAATACTGATCATTTGCTCCTCTTGTAGTATCGACTGACGAAATCCAATTTGCGGCATCTAACGAAGTATATCAGTTTGCTGATGAAATATCCTTGAACTGTTTCCATTTCATTCTCTCAGGAACGGTTAAATCAAGTAATAACGGCCAATCTTTCGTAGCAATCTTGCCTATATCTTTTTTCTCTCAGGATTAATTGAAAGAAGTATCAACCTTTTCTTTTCATTTTCGTAAAGATCAATATATAAGCTTTATGTGTGAATGTGTTTATTTCCTTCTGAACCTTTTCTTCTTTGATAAAGTCAGAGAACACAAAAGGCCAATGTTTTATGTAATGCAAATGAAATGGTAATCTATGATGTAGAGAGAATTTGGAGGCAAGGCGCATGGCACAGTAATATATCAATGGTCTATTACTATGCCTGATACTGATGTACATGGAAACTATTGATTCCTGATAATTGCAAAACCAAAAGCTCACATTAACTCGATGTCATTTAAAGATGGCAGCACGACTCACGAGTCGAGACATTTTATTTTCAATTTCAATTATCAGACTATTGATTCCTGATAATTACAAAACCAGAGTTCTGATTAACTTAATATGTCATTTAAAGATGGCAGCACGAGTCACAATATTTTTATCTTTTTATTTTCAATTTTAATTTTCAGCATTGTATTTGTGGTTTCATTTATGATAAAGAGATGGCAGCATAAACGTGTGAACATAAAAAATATGAGGACAATTACCCAAATGCGAGTAAGTTTGAATTTTTAATGACGTAAATCAAGATTATTTCTACTCGCATCTGGGTTATTGCCTAAAGTAAAACCTGCCTCAAGTGCACACTGGAAGAAAAGGCTAATAGTGTTCAAAGTTAGGGCTTTTCACCGAACAGAGATTTTGATAACCAGATACTTTCTGCATAATTACAAAGATAATGTTAAAGAACATCTCATGAGAAAAAATAGAATACAACATTTGACCTCTAATGAACAACATTGTGAGACAATTGCACTGGGAACTAAGCCAAGAACAACATTGACATGACAATGCTCTGGCCCTATGCCAAGACATTAATATCTGGCCATTCCAATTATACACTTATTTGCTTTAAAATTTAAGAGAAATGCAAACATTTTCAGCCAATTCTATCTTATTAAGAGTACCGCGTTAAATAGAAATCTGTTTCCTTTTTCCTTGTTTCTCCTCTTTTCTCCTCTATTTCACATTTTAAAACATAGGCATCGTGAAGTCTGACACGACATCATGTAATATTATGACAACTGAATCATTCACTGTCACCAGGGGCAAGTTAAGAACTAGGGTCAGGTTCAAGGTACATTAACATAAAAAATTGTGACTGACACATCGAAAGTTATTTGGTTTAGAAAAAATCTGGAAAGTACTTAAAGATATCACTTGATTTTTATAATTGTGACTTATGTTGTAATCATCAAACAGCCATGAATCATTTGAATTGCACTTTACATTTGTCAATTCCTTTCGAGAAAATGAATAAAAAACCCAATTGTTTTAAGAGGTAAAATGATACTGAATTGTTTGAAGTTTACAGTAGCTTTTCAAGTTTTACATATATGGTGATGTACAGGTACTTAGGGATTTCGAAATCGTGTCAGGTAATTATTTAGGTAAACTGATCTCATTTCTGGTTTCATTTTGAAATGTTTACATTTTAGAGATTAAATGAGACTTTTTTCTGAAACCCATCTGACTCTGAAACCTACAATTTTGAATGCACTACATCTGAAACCTGTATCTTGGAAGTATATAACAATTACAGAATAACTAAAACCTATTATTTTAAAGTATACCTATTTATTAAAAAGGCTATTCAGCTGTAATTAAATCCAACAAGCCACCTATGTGACAATGTGTAGTTGCATTATAAAATAGTGAGAACTTTAAAGGATCAGCCCTTGATTCATTGAAAAGGTGACCATTGATGCATTGTTTTTTAAAATGAAAACTTTTCACAAATTAAATTTTTTTTATCTAAAGGAGTGGTATCGATATGGAGAACTGAATTCAACAATGTTTTTGTTTTAAACCAATCATTGAAAACATTCTGTAAAAAAACACGTTTTTTTATGTAATGTTGACTCATTGACAACAATTTAATGCGAAAATTATTTAGAAATATTTTATATAACTGTTTTTGTTAACATTTTTTTTTGTGCAATTGGTTTTGCTCCTTTCTACCAATTCTTGAGAATGAAATAAAATGTCTCTCCGAACCTTGTTGGAACAAAATAGCATAAACAACATGTTTTTAGACTTCTCAATATTATAGTTATACAAAGGAATTTTTGGTGATTTTAAAAAAAGTATTCAAAAAATTAAAACAAAATCCCCCAAAATAGATAAAAATCAAGATAAACCTTTTATTTCATTAACAAGATACTTTTTTAACCTTTACCATGCTGCCTTATTTCAGCAAATATATCCCACGCAACTGGCTTATTTTTCAAAGAGTGCAAAAAATGATATGCCTGGACTAAATAATTAATATCTCAATAACTACTGAATGAATCTGGATAAAATTTTCACAAAGGGAAGACACAGTGGCCTGGCTCATGAAAAAAATGTTCTCATGAATTTTTTCGTACATTAACACGACTGGGCATAAATATACCATGAATACTCCTCCGGAATCCGCCGCTCCGCCTCTTCGTCTGGTCAGAATCCAAATCTGAATTTGCAGCGATCAAATGTTCAATTTTTCAATTCAGAAAATATTCTAGCTTCTATTTTCGATGACCGTTATCGGCTTCCAAGAGCCTAAAGAGCTCGAAATCGTAATCCATTTCCTCCACATTTTCGTTGTGATCGTATTTGTCCACCATTTTGTACGATTCGTTCACTAAAAACGACTTAAACACTGTTTAAATTGTTGAATTGAGAATTATTTTTCGAAATATCGCATTTCTAGGTCAACAGGAAGTCATGTTAGGCACTGAATAAATCGGGCAATCTAATTGGACAATACGAATTGCGCGAAAAAGTAAAGTTTTTAAAAGTTTGAAATCGGGCGTACGGGTCCGCCGGCAGTTGTGAGAGACATTTTAGTCTCGGCGGACGAGTCCGCCGGCAGCACGCTAAAGGTTAAAATCAACCCAAATTTCCTTTGTACAATTACAATATTGAGAGACCTAAACATGTTGTGTATATGTCGTTTTGTTCCAATGGGGTTCGGAAAGATGTTTCATTTCACTCTGGAAACATGATACCAAGAACAAAACAAGTGTTTGATGTGTTTCTAAAACAATATAGATGAAAGTATATATATGTTTTTCAAATTATATTGTTACCATTCAAAATATGACCATTAAATTGACGATGTGTTAAATTTTTAGATTTTTTCAATGACTGGTTTAAGAAAAACGTGTGTTCAAAAAGTTCTCCATATCGATACCACTCCTTTTGCGAGGTAGTATGGTGTCATGATAGTATTTAGTATTGCCCAAATAAGTATAATACAGGGTGGTCAAAAAAAACGGCAACCCTAGTTTTTCCTAATATCTTTGTCATTCTAAGGAATAACTCCCTGATATTTTACACATTTGTACATCATTCAATTTCCTACCAACCTACCATATTTCATGACCATCGGACTGATAGTCACAATATTACTGCATTTTAAGCAACATACCCCAGATGGCCACTTTCGGGCTGTCTGAGCTGGACTGTTATCCAAATGGACTCCATTTCCAACTTGATGCACTGGTAAACTATAACAATTATGTATTCTTGGGGAGCAAAGCACTTTATGAAGTAGTGGGGAGGCACCTTCACATAGACAGATGCACAGTTTAGTGTGTTCTCAGAAGATAGGGTCCTTTACCTTTGGTGATGCTAACAGATATGCAATAACTGTCAACATCAAACTCTATTTTGTGATTCCCATGGAGTTCTTGGGGACTTTAGGTGAACCCAGGGGGGTTGAAAGGCAGCAACAGTGGTTCCAATAAGACAGAACCATACCCTATACACCAAATGATGCACAATATTGGCTTTAAGACCACTTAAATGACCACATTATCAGCAGTACAACAGACAGTGAATGGGTACCCCATAGCCCAGATATGGCCCCATTTAATCTTTACCAGTGGGGATACCCCAAAGATAGAGTGTAATGTAATTACACCAGAAAGACATTTGACCTCAAAATAAAGATCACATGTGTCATTCAGGCCATACTTGCTGAGGGATGCTGTTATGTCATTGACAGGTTTGGAAAACATGTGCAGGTTTGCCTACAGCACGATATTGGAAAACTGGGGCACCTTGTTTAAAGTGCTGTAACATTGCGACTATCAGACCAATGTTCATAAAATTACACAGTCTAGTACTAAATTGAATGATCTACATGTGTGCCAAATATCAGGACCAAATTTCCAAAAATGACAAAGATATGAGGAAAAATTAGGGTTGCCGTTTTTTTTGACCACCCTGTACTAAATGATTTTAAGTGTAATTCAATTTAGTATTTAGTATGACCTTATGTAGTATTTAGTATGACCTTATGTAGTATTTAGTATGACCTTATGTAGTATTTAGTATGACCTAGGATGACCCCATAGTATTCAGATAGTATGAATATTCACCTGTTAACGTGCCCGCTTCAGCTGTACCGCTTTTCACGGTCCCATCATGCTTTGCTGCAATGGTATCATCATTTAAATCGGAGTCTTTTTCATCAATTGTTCCGTCATCCGCTGATGCCAGTTTGCTGCCAGGTTGCCAGAGACCTCTAGAGGCAGGAACTGGAAGTGCTGGTTCTGGGACTACTATATCGGGCAGATCAGGCTCCCTGGACTTTTCATTGTATACATAGGCTACTGTTGTACTGATAAATCTGAAAGTAGAAAATAAAATGTGTAAGTCAGTTAAGTTCAGGACTTTGTCCCTTTAAAGTATTCTTTATTAGTATGTCCAAAATATTTTGTAAACACATGTTTTAACCAATCAAAAATATCTCTTGATTAGAAAATCCTTGATTTTTATTTTTGACACTGTGTACTATTTATATTCAAGCATGTATTTTATCTCAGGTTAAATCTTTGGATATATACCTCCTTCCAAATACTGTATGCCATATGTGGTATAAAAATGTTACAACAACTAGTTTTAATGAAGGGTCGTGTAATTCACCAAAAATCATGTTTTACACCATATAATATTTTGTATTTTCTCCTAAAATCTGAGCATATCAAAAATACCTTTGTAGAGATTGCAGCAAATTCATTTGTATTGTATATTACCATCATTGTTCAAAAATCTCCATAATCCTACATGTTAATTTCAAAATTGGAATTTTTGTGAACGAGCTAAATTTTTTCTATGTTTCAATTGTGACTTAAGAATTTTCAAAACACATACACTATATATCAAGATAGTTAGGACAGTATGCAATAAAAATCAACAAGATACCACCATAGCCTATCACCAATTTTATCGCCAATTTTAATTGGTTTGATATTTTTATAGTTCAAGTATTTTAGGTAATCTTTAACTGACCCAAGTATTAAGCTGTCATTGTGGAAATTACAAATTGAATTTTCTAGATTTTTTTATTTCGTTTTTAACTACATGTAGGCTTTATATAATATCCATCAGCTCTCCCCACTATGATATATCAGATACTCTATGTGATCTTAATTTCTCAACAATTATTTTTCACGCAGTAGCACTTTAATTTTTGCACATTTCAGATCATTTAGTTCAGTTCATCTAGCAAGAAGGTTACATTGTTAGTGCAAACTTAAAGCGCGGCCCCAGGGTTACCAGAAAATTTTCAAATCCAAATTTTGTTTTCCTCGTATTTTTCCTGACCTTGGCTACTTCATTGACTTTTGAGATTTGTCAAGCTAGTTGTCAATTTGTAGCTATTACAATTGGCAGCAAAAGTGCTAAATTTGGCCATCTTGCTTCATCAAGTTTTGGACCAGTCCTCACCCATACACCTTAATCAAAAATCCCCATGATTTTGGAATTTGGGACACCTCCTCAAGGAGAATTTGGGAGATGAACTGTGTGTTTAACTTAGCGAATAAGCTATGTCACAATATGATATTTACCATCTACTCTATGCTTGATTTGTGATAAAACATCGTGATTGAGTGTGGGAACCAACGATGAATGACCCAAATAAAGCAAAATCACACAGCAAAATCAAAGTGACACATAATAAAGACAAGCTACACATTGTGAATACCCTCCCCAACAAAAACAGTCTCAGGAAGACAATGATGCATAATTAGCAAGCAGTCAGGACAACCTTGAATGGCAATGAATGCCTCATTATGTTGTCCTTGCTCAAGGTTTATATAACTTATGGACATATTATCTTATTCCTAATTACACTTCTCTTGATTAAGAAATCTGAAATATGTTCCTGGTTTTCTATGTAATTAAGAATGTTGACTATATTTTCGCTTACTTTATTTCCTGCTCATTCCACTCCTTTTGACTCTATTCTAAATTTTTAAATGTGACCCGTCGATGATAATTTTCTCTCAGGAAAAATCTGATGAATCAGAGGTGAACATGACACATGGGTCGCTTAATCCCAATATTTCTTCAAGACTGAATTCTTTCCATCAATACTCTGAGTCAGATATGGTATTATCCCTCAGGAAAACCCATATACAATCCCTCCAAGTAAATAACCTCTATTTCATACTTGTTAGGATTTTGGTATAACAGCAGGATGTTATATAATGACCAATAATGCTATTTTTATCATTCTTTAAGCAATGACATCCAGGTCATATATTGCATATGCTTCTAAATAGATAAACCCTATATCTGAAACTCCCCAGTACATAATCAGATTATCTCATGCTTCCCTTTCATCAAATATTTCTTCCGTAATCTAAACAAATCAATATTTTCAACAACAGCCTACCTTAGCATAAGAAACAACATTTGTGCGTTTCATTGACCTTTCCGTACTAATCCATGAATCGCATTTGTGCCTTTCTAACCATCACCTCTACTGAACTCGTACCAATTCGAGACATATCATTTTGATCTGAGGATCTCAATTCAGATATCTACATATCCAGTATCATCAACAGATACATTTAGTTTGTGTTTAGATCCATGATTTATGTGTCCCGATTATCCTATTCTATGGTTGGCCCTATCAGTAACATTTTCGATTTTCATATAAATAGTTCGACTAGTTATTCTAATGTACTGATATAAGGCTATAAAATCGTGCAATTTTCTGGAATGAAGATTGAAATTGGCATCAAAGATGTCCTAATACGACCTCACTTCATCAGAAATCAATCAAATAACCTCAAAATTATCCAATTATATGTTGGGTTCTTCCGTGTTTATGTTATGATCCTATAAGATAGATGAGAGCATTCACGTTGTTATGATCAGAATAGAAACTCCCGAAAAAAAATATCCGTCTCCTGGTGGTATTTTCACGATTTCTTTCTTACAAAAATGACCATGAAACCCTGAATTTCTGTTCTCTCATATAGTCCAGAGTGGTAACTGTTAACTATGTCTCTCCCCTCTAGTCCATATTCCTTTAGACCGTGTCTGTCCAAGTCAGAGAAATGTTATGCATACCAAACACTTAAGAGCCAAGAATGTATCATATTGAAGGTTGCCGATTGATCTAACGCTGCAAAGGCTAATGCCAGTTGCAGGAGTTGAGTGGATATAAACAGAGTTTATTACCATAATAGCGCCAAATTGTGCATTGACATAATACAAAGTTTTAATAATTAGACACTATAGTTTCAACCTGAACAGTTTTTTCTGCAGTGTTTCAAGACACGAATAGAGATTGTTTGAAATTGATAGTTTATTAGTGTTCCTTGACATTTCATTCATTCAAAAGCATGATCTAGTATATTAAATTCACATTGATGGACATCATGAATTATCAATATTTCTGGTTTCATTCAACCTTTTACTGTACTCCTACTTAATTTGGTGCTACTAATTATTTTGGTGGATTTGCTGCTTTGAACAATTGACCTTTTGCGATCAGAATTCAGGAATTTTGTTTATGGATACTGTTGTCACGTATTTCGTCTTATTGGTATGACGTCATATAGAAATGATATTAGACATGATGGAATCACGAAATGGCGGACACGTGGCAGTTTTGAGCTAAAAATATTGTCGTTTCTTATATAAAAACCATGGGTCGGATATTTACCAGGTATGCCTATTTGACTAGATCATGAGTATGTCTATATATATGCGAAGTTTGGGTGAAATTCATACTAAACATCGATGCCTATAAGCGCCCCCCGTTTTTGTCAAAATCGGGGGGCGCTAAACCGCTATCTAAATCATGTCAGTAAGACCTTAGACTTGGTATGTGCTTAGCATGAATGTTGATCTAGTCAAATAGAACGCTTTCGTGAAAAATAAATCAATAAAGCACATAATATAGAAGATAATCTCTCAAAATCAAGCATCTAAAGCTGTGTGACCTAATTGTGACGTCACTAAAAGACAGAATCCATTCGGTGATCGCAAATCATCAATTGGCAGCTACTTAACTTGGCAGATTTGCAGTATTGAAAAATTTGGCTGATCTTCAAAATTGAAAAATCTGGTGAACTTCAGAGGATGCACTTATGAGCCAAAATTTATCCTTGTTGCTATCTATCTGTTTGATAGTTCTTTTTAAGTAGTCGAGAATGGAAATATTGTTGTTTCTATTGTATGATTAAAATGGCTGCCAAATACAGTATGGTTTTACCAAAATGAACTGTTGGACATGTTATGTATTATTGGGTTCATTGGAGTTTCTGCAAACAGGCAAAATGTATGAAAACAACAGTAAAAAGATGATTGAAACTTATAATTTTAACATAGAGAGTTTGGTAAAAAACAACTAGAGAAATCGCTTTTTGCATTCTGCATATGAATATGAAACCCCTGGATCATTGCAAAGCCATAAGGCAATTCAAATCATTATGCAATCTGAAAATGCAATATAGATTTACTCAATAATACAGTTTTGATCTCTAACGACTGTTTCATATCTGCAAGAACCAAAATTCCAAGTGCGATACTTGGAACGAATATGGTAGCCTTGATTGCCAAAAATATACTTGGTCTATTGCTAGGCAACTGAAATAAATGTGAAAAATAGCAGAAACAGTGAAGCAATCAATACAAGAGGAGGCTGAGGTCATGCTTGTTATGGTTAACTCTTAAACTCCTAGATGTCTGATCTTGCCATTACTGTTTTCATATTTCTTTCCCAAAACAAGAAAATAACATTGTTTATGAATTAAAATAGAGAATATATACTGTAATATGGAGACATTTTGCGAGGTACATGAACATGTATATCAAATGAACAGAGATGGGCTTTATGAATTATCCATATTTCTGGTTTCATTCAACTTTTTATGGCTTTATCAAAAGGACCATTTGCATGTGACTGATTATTGGTTTTGACCGTTGATGTCAATTTGAGTTTTGTTTGTATTTACAGTAAAACCTGCGAACAGGGAATGCTCTTCGGACTGGAGGAAAGTTTCCTTGTTTAGAGGTTTTCCCTATAGAGAGGGGCCACACTTTCAGCAAACTCAGAATTGCCGAATAAGCATTTTTTGTATATATTTGGGCATTTATTGATTTTACCAATGCAGACTCCATACTTGGTTGCTAGAACTTTGTTTTGACATCTTGGAAGATGTATGAAGGTCACCCACCTCCCTCCTTTAGCTGAGGGTAAGGAGCATTCTCCTGATGTTGATTTTAGCCGCTGCTGCTGGCGTATGATGATGTCTAGTTGAAATTGTTGATAGATTTGGCTCAACATGACACATGTACTTATCTGTTATCTCCATAAAACAATTGTGC